GGGGGCGGAGCTCACCGGCGGGGGGGCGGAGCTCACCGGCGGGGGGGGCGGGGCTCACGGGGGGGGGGGGGGAGTGTCGAGTTCCGGGGCGGGGGGGGGCGGGGCGAGCGGGGGGGCGTGTCCAGCACGGCGGGGGCGGGACCCGGAAGCGGCGGCGGCGGCTCCCGGCGGGTTCCGGTCGCTCCCGGTCGGTCCAGATCGCGATCTCGGTCCCGGCGGCGGCTGCCGGAGGGTCCCGATCCCGGCGGGTCCCGGCGGCGGCTCCCGGAGGGTCCCGATCCCGGCGGGCCCCGGTCCCGGCGCGGCCCGGGCATGGCGGGCCGCGGGAAGCTGATCGCCGTGATGGGCGATGAGGACACGGTGACCGGGTTCCTGCTGGGCGGCATCGGCGAGCTGGACAAGCACCGGCGGCCCAACTTCCTGGTGGTGGAGAAGGAGACGAGCCTGGCCGAGATCGAGGAGACCTTTCGGTGGGGGGCACGAGGGCGGCCCGGGGGGCTCGGGGGGCTCTGAGTGGGCTCGGGAGGGGCTGGGGGGTCCGAGGGGGCCCTGCGGTGGTCCCTGGAGGGGGTCTCAGTGGTCCCTGAGGAGGGTCTGGGCGGGTTTTGGAGTCTGGGGGATCCCAGAAGTTCTGGGGGGTCCGGGGCAGTTGGAGAGGGGACCCAGGGGCAGTTGGAGAGGGATCCCAGGAGTCTCGGGTGAGGGTTTGGGGGTCTCAGGAGGGTATGGGAGGAATCTGGGGTCTGGAAGGTCTCAGGAGCCCCTGGGGGTTGTCAGAGGGATATCAGGAGTGTCGAGGGGGGTCTCAGGGGTGCTTAGGGGGGATCAGGGGGTCCAAGGAATCCCAGGAATCCCCTGTCCCACCACCGCGCTGGGGTCCCCATCCGTGGGTGAGGTTCTCTGTGCCCCCCTGACCCCCGGTTTCCCTGTTCCAGGGGTTTCCTGGCGCGGGAGGACGTGGGGATGATCCTGATCTCGCAGGCGCTGGCGGAGCAGATCCGGCCGGCGGTCGCAGCCCACGCCCGGGCACTGCCCGCGGTGCTCGAGATCCCCTCCAAGGACCACCCGTACGACCCGGCCCGGGACTCGGTGCTGCGCCGCGCCCGCGGGCTCTTTGCTCCTGACGAGCTGCGATAGAGCCCCCGGGACCCCCCAGCCCCCGTACCTCCAAATCCCCCGGGCCCCCCCTAACCCCCCTCGGTACCTCCAGCCTCCCCGGGACCCCCAAAACCCTCCCTGGTACCTCCAAATGCCACAGGACCCCTCCAGAACATCCCCTGGACTGCCAAACCACAAACAGTACCCCTGGTACCCCCCCAGTATCCTCAAACCCCCTCAGCCCCCCCAGACTGCCCCTCCGTGCTGCACTTGTGGCCTCGTCGTGCCCGACCACCTGTGATGGGCACCCCCAGGACCCCTTCAGCACCCCCACACAGCCCCTGGCACCTCCCCAACCCCACCCCGGCCTCTTCACTCCCGATGAGCTGCAACAGACCCCACCTGGTGCCCCAAAACAGCCCCTGGCATCCCACAGGGTCTCCACGACAGGGAAACCCACCTGGGGGTTCCCGGGGGCCTGCGCCCCCTGTCTGGTGGTCCTCACCCCACGGGGTCCCCAGCCCACCCAGGGTGCTGCTTGGGGGCTCCTTGGGGGTGGGTGCTGTCAGGTCCCTGAGGGTGTCCCACGGGTCTGAGGGTGACAGAGGGACCCTAGTGTGTCCCTGAGGGGGCAGGGGGGCCCCGCGGGTGCCCTGTGACGGTGTCTCAGCCATGTCCCGTGATGGGGAAGTGCCACCACCGGATCCTGCCGGATCCCGCCCGCGGGCAGGGAGGGACAGCGGGGAGGGGGGGCCAGGGACACCCCAAGGACACCGGGAGTTGTCATCGTGACCTTGTCACCATCCCTGCAGCCCTTCCTCAGCCCCCTGTGCCCTTGCAGAACCCCGGGGGGGGGGTCTGGTATTTATTGCCACCCCAGTGCCCAAGTGACGTTTGTATCCCCCCTTTTGTGTCCTCCCTGTGTCCCCAACATGTACTGACACCACTTGTCATCTGTTCTGCTCTGTGGGGCACAGGGGGACATGGGGGGTACACACAGGGGGACAGGGACCAGGGGGGGACATGCTGTGAGGCATGGGGGGGACAGGAACGGGGTGGGGGGATGCACGAGGATGTGGTACAGGGGCATGCTCTGGAGCACAGGTGGGACAGTGACACGCTGTGGGGCACGGGGGGTGACAGTGACACAGTGGGGACACACTATGGGGCACAGGGACACACTATGGGGCACGGGGGGGACAGGAGCAGGAGGGGTATGGATATGTGGCACAGGAACAGGGATGGAGGGGGGACATGCTGTGGGCCACGGGGAAGGAACAGGGACACAACATGTGGGGGTCCCAGACTCGTGGGCACAGGGGCACCCTGACTCCCCCCATGACCCCAACCCCGGGGCGAACAGCAGGGACAAACCCCCGTGCCCCATGGAGACCCCCGGCACCCCACTTTCCTGCCCAGTCCCACAGCCTGTGCCCCTGGGGATGGGAGTGGCACCCAGGGTGAACCCCCAGGCCTGGGGGGTGACCCAGATCACAGGGAGGCGTGAGGGGGGCAGTGCTGGGGGACACACAGCTGGGTGGGCACGGACACAGGTGTCACACACACACAGGTGTCACACACACACACACACAGGGGTGTCACACACACACAGGTGTCACACACACACAC